TATAAAAGATTTGTTAACTTGCTACCATTTAGATAATATTCAAAAGTACAAACAAGCCCACATTAATAACTTCTCATATGCTATTACTATTATTTAAACTATTGCATCTGATCTAACTTGTATTCAGTACTATTCTACATTACTTGCTCCTTGTGAACATTTTGGTAACTTTTGAAATTGGTATTCTCAAGCCTATAACACTATGATTTATAGCCTAGTTACTTATTCTAACTTTTAAAAACTAGCTACTGCAGACTGAACAATAGCTCACATACTTGTTTGAAATATTATCTTTAGTTGCCAATATCAGAGAGTAGTACCTGCACCTTGACTAACTGCCTAACTTCTTTTTTAAAAATATACTTCTTACTATAACCTTTGCAAGGCTTCTAATATTTATATTAACTACTATAATATTTTATTGATAATCCTACTGCTGCTTAGATTTATATCTGAATATTATATTCAGATAAAGAATAACAAACTTTAGAAAAAATTACTACTTCTGTTTTACCTCTATCTTCTCCTAATACTGTTATTAATAGAGGAGAGCCTGTTGTTACCTCTACTTCAATTTTTACACCTATTACTTAGCTAGAAAGACAGAAAGAATCTTTTATCTCGTCTGACAATTTAGAAAATATACTAGAAGAAGCAATATTATCATCTCCCACCACCTCAATTTATTCATAAAATTTTTAAAACCTTAGTATCTATTAGCACTTGTCGAACTGAATCTTCTATTTCTGAAACCTAACAAGAAGATACTTAATCTGTTAATACTGAAGCCTCATATATAGAAAAAACTGCTCTATTGCCAGTATATACTGTAGACAAAGAAATTACTACAATTATATACTCATTTGAGCAAGACTACCAACCTCTTTATCTCTAAATTAAAATATCTAGTCTACTATCAGAACACCTTTACCCAGATATCCCAGATATCTTAGATATCTCTAGTTCAACTTCTACTTACTTTTTATTTTATTCTCAATTCTCTAAAACAACTACTATCTATAATTATCTCTCTCAAGAGAACTTTTTTGAACAATCAGAATTAAGAAATTTAGAACAGAGCCCTTATCTTTATCTAACCAAGCAAGCTCTTAATTACAACCAGAATCAGATAGTTTAGAAGAAAAAAATATGTGTGACTTGAAAAAAGCTGTTTGAGCTATAACTCAATTAGCTGAAGCTATTGGAAAAGAAGAAGGAGCAGAAAAATCTCTTATCAAGATTAAACTATTTAGAGGAAATAGTACTGAGGATTCTGTTAATTAAATTAATAAATTTGATCAAGCTGCAACTACCAATAATTAGAATCCTGCTAGAAAACTTGCTATTGTTAAAGCATATATATAATAATGCAGAAGATTGATTAAAGGGATTAGAAGATGAAGAAATTCAAGTATATGATACCAGTAATGCTAATAATCAATTCAAAGCAAAATTTTTATGACAATTTATAACTACCAAGAAGCAAGCTATATAGCAACAAGAAGTTTTCAATCTAAAACAAGAAGAAAACACTATAAATACTTATATTGCCTAGTTTAAAAAACTACGAAAAAAAGCAAACCTAGACCCAGATCATATTTTTTCTAATCTTTTATTGTTCAACTTTTCATTAAAAGATTGCGATCTGAATATGCTATCCCTGTTTAAGCATCATCTTCAGAAAACTTGGATGAAGCTATTACTACTACTAAACAATAGAAAACTAAAAAATTAATAGCCTTGACAGAAGATCTAATAATGAATACTATTAGTAACCTTACTAGCCACTATAACAAATTAACTATTAATATAGTTTAACAGCAACCAGAACCCTAGCCAAGACCTGCTTATATAGCTAAAAGAAAATCTGGTTTTTCTCGTCAAAACAACTTTAATCAGAATAGAGCTCTTTGTTATTATTGTGAAAATCTAGAACATTTTATTGCTGACTATAGAAAAAGACATAATAATAACCAAAGAAACAAAACAATAGGAGAAGAACTAACAATAATAATAAGAAAAAATAATTATTATTATTACAATTATAACAACAATA